CCTTCATTGTGTACTGTCCCTTTGGTCTCCTATCTCCTAGTCCCATTTCCATAACTTTACATTTGCTCGTGTTGAATTCTAGTAGCCATTTCTCCGACCATCTCTGCAATCTGTTCAGGTCCTCTTGGAGGATCCTGCAATCCTCATCTGTCACAACTCTTCTCATCAACTTTGCATCATCCGCAAACATCGACATGTAGGACTCTACGCCTGTAAACATGTCGTTAACATATACAAGAAATAGAATTGGTCCCAGCACCGATCCTTGTGGTACTCCACTTGTTACTGTTCGCCAGTCCGACTTCTCGCCCCTTACCGTAACTCTTTGGCTCCTTCCTGTTAGGCAGTTCCTTATCCATTCTAGGACCTTTCCCCCCACCCCCGCCTGCCTCTCGAGCTTGAACAGCAGTCTCATGTGCGGTACTGTATCAAAGGCTTTTTGGCAGTCCAGAAATATGCAGTCTGCCCAACCATCTCTGTCCTGTCTTATCCTCGTTATTTTATCATAGAATTCCAGAAGGTTTGTTAGGCACGATTTCCCTGTCCAGAACCCATGTTGATGTTTGTTCACAAACCTAATGTTCTCCAGGTGTACAACCAGTCGCAGCCTAATTATTCTTTCCAGTATTTTACAGGGGATGCTTGTCAGTGATACAGGTCTGTAGTTAAGTGCCTCCTCCCTTTCTCCTTTCTTGAAGATCGGCACGACATTTGCCTTCTTCCAGCAACTGGGCAATTCTCCTGACATAAGTGACTCATTAAAGATCATTGCCAGAGGCACGCTGAGGGCCTGTGCTGCTTCTTTTAGTATCCACGGTGATACTTTGTCTGGTCCAACTGCTTTAGTTGCATCTAGAGTTGTCAACTGTTTCATTACCTCCTCTGCTGTCACCTCTATATCTGTGTGTGTGTGTGTGTGTGTGTGTGTGTGTGTGTGTGTGTGTGTGTGTGTGTGTGTGTGTGTGTGTGTGTGTGTGTGTGTGTGTGTGTGTGTGTGAAAAAAAGTAGTAGTAGACACAGTTAATTGACAGTTGAGAGGCGGGCCGAAAGAGCAGAGCTTAACCCCCGCAAGCACAACTAGGTGAATACACACACACACAAATCAAAACAATGTTTTCGAAACGTATTACTGATGAATCATAACCACAACGTCAAGATCTGAGTGCTGGTAAACATCCCTTGTTTAATGAATGCTATATCACTCTACTTTTCATACAAAGGAAAGAATGTCAACACAACAGCAAAGGCCATTTTGACACAAATAAGTCTCTTGAAATTACAAAAACAACGCCACTATGGCCAAATATAATCCATATTATATACACACACATTATATATATATATATATATATATATATATATATATATATATATATATATATATATATATATATATATATATACATATATATATGATGGAAGCAAGTCGATGAAGAACTCTGTAGGGTAAGGCAGGTCCTAGTCAACAACAGCTTCTCCAATGGTTTCGTTGAAGACATCGTAAGAAGGAAGATGAAACGCCATGCAACCTCTGAAGAGACAACTAACACAACACCTTTACCCCCTATTAGACTATTTTACAGGAACTTCTTTTCCACAGCTCATAAAACGGAGGAAAGGGTCCTGAAAGATATTGTTGATAGGAACGTTATCCCTACAGACAAAAATCAGAAGATACAATTGACGATTTACTATAAAACCAAAAAAACGTTTTTTTTGGGACTACTCATGAGAAACTCTCCAGACACAAAGCAGAACGCTTTAAAAGAGACCAACGTCGTCTATGCCTTCAAATGCCCACTTGGGGACTGTAAGCCTCAAAGAACTCAGTACATAGGCAAGACAACAACATCTCTTTCCAGGAGATTAACAATGCATAAGCAACAGGGTTACATTAAGGAACATATAATCTCTTCCCACAACCAGACCATCACCAGAGAAGTCTTAACAAACAAAACAGAAATCATCGATAGATACAGCGATAGCAGGCGGCTTGACATCTGCGAGGCACTACACCTTAAGAAGTCAACACTAGCAATCAACAGCCAATTAATGCTCAACTATATTCAACCCACTTCAAGACTGCACCAATATAGAAGCATCAAGAAATATGGGCCAATAGGCCCTTTGCAGTTACTTCCATCCTTCCCTTTGATTTACCCAATTTATACCCATTGTTTCGTGTTCTATCTTGTGTTGAAAATTTTGTTCACCTCATCCAAAACTGTTGTAACATATCACCTCACCCAAATGCGGGTATATAAGATGAAAGCTGTTTAAATGATAGCATAGAACTCTGTTTAGTGTTTACAGGTTATAGTTGTGTGTGTGTAAACTAAAGTCTTTGAAAATGTAATAAGTTATTACGAAACGCGTTCAAGTGTCGCGTCAGACTAGAAATAAAAATGAATTTTGGAGAATTTATTTTTCAATTACCATTGACAGTGAAAAGAAACATAAGAAATATTGAGAAAATGCGTGTTAGAATTATTAATCTTACTTTTTCGGTCATATTTAATGATTTATATGTATATGTATATATCTTTCTTCAAGAAAAGTATTACCGTAGAAGTTCCCCAACAACTGCTGCATTTCTTTTTGTATTAACATACTTGTGCACACCTGTACTTGTACAGCTTCCCAAGACGGTACGAAGGGATACCATAGGCGCCGAGTCTTATTTTGACTGTCCAGCCAACGTTCGGGATCCAGACACCTCCCTCCTCTCACTACCAAACCTAAAATAACGCTTTCAAACGTTGTTGTTGTTGTTTTAGAGTCGGCTACTCGGAACAAAAAGTTGCAAGAAGCACGGGCTAGGGCGAGCCCCGTAGTGGACTTACCTGGCACAGGTGCGGGGCTGTGTGCTGTACCAACCAACAGTTACTTTCAAAGCAATAACGAAAGCAACTTGCTGGATGTTTTCGAACCAACAACGCCAATCTTATAATTTCTTTATCATCTGATTGGGTGAGGATTATGATGTTTAATATCCCAGCTAATCAGTTACTATTACACTGTCATACTCTAAGGATTGTTTCTTCGTTTTAGTTATGTAATAGTGTACACACTCTTCTAGACGGTTCTAGAAGAGAACCTTCTAGAATTGTCATTAAGCCTGCGGGCCGCTCCAAGCAACAGCTTGGTGGACCAAACTCTCACAAGTCGAGCCTGGCCTCGGGCCGGGCTTGGGGAGTAGAAGAACTCCCAGAACCCCATCAAGCAGGTAGGAATAATAAGTACAGTAAGTGGACATGAACTAACTAAACCAGCCTATCACCAGCCTAATGAAACCGCAGTAAGACTAATGTTTATCTGGACAGTGGTTGTGGAGTCTCTGTATGCTACAATTCAGCCCATCCTCCCATTTTGGTAGTACCTATAGTGACTATGAGGACCATAGTATATATACCGACGTACAACGAAATTTGAAAGTAGAAATCTGAACTATTGAGTTAGGCAAACCGGAAAATTATTTTTTACTTGTGTTTCTTGTTGTTGTTAAAGATTCGCTACCTGAAATAAAAAGTTCCAGGTAACACGGGCTATGGTGAGCCCGTCTACTTGTGTTGCTTTGACAAAGTAACCTAACCTCCCTAACTCTGGGGGGTAGAAATAGCCTAAGCTACTCTATCCTTTTGAGATGTATTTTTTCTTGTCTCAATAAACATACTTGAACTTGAACCTCCCTAATACACGATATCTGAGGCCTAATATGGAACATGTGTGTGCTATACTAGGCCTAAGAATATTTAAGTTAGTTTTTTAGCTTCATTTTAAAAGAATTCCTTACTAGTCGGTTTACTACTATCTAAAAGCTTAGTACGTACGAATTCGTGACTATTGACGATCGTTACAATAGCTACTATTTAAACAGGGGATGATTAGATACTCGCCCCTCGGGGCAAAATTTAAAAAATTTAAAAAATTAGATAGTATCTATAAACATCCTCCTGTTTAGATAGTACCTATTGTGACGATCGTCAGTAGTCAGAATTCGTACGTACTTAGCTTTTAGATAGTATACTGATTAGTAAGGAATTATTTTAAAATAAAGGAAGCTAAAAAAATTAAATATTCTTAGGCCTAGTACAGTATAGCACACATGAACTATATTATGCCTCAGATATCGTATATTAGGCCTAGTACAGTATAGCACACATGAACTATATTATGCCTCAGATATCGTATATTAGGCCTAGGGAGGTTAGGATACGTTAGTTTAGTTTGTCAAAGCAACACACAAGTAAAACATAGTTTTCCAGTTTGTCCAACTCAATACTTCAGATTTCTACGTTCTAATTTCGTTGTACGTCGGTGTATGTACTCTGGTCCTCATCATTGCCATAAGTATTACCAAAACAGTAGGATAGGCTGTAAAATTCACACAGAAAGCAAAGATGTTCATTATCTCACACCCAAACTTAATTATACTATATAACTACCCGTTAAATATTCAAATATCACTAGCACACCCGCTAGTGTTGTGAAAATATGTTCACAACACAAATCTGTCACAACTCTCCCATGTGAGCCGTAGGCTTGACTGAAATGTTAAGTGTACACAGCCTCATCAGTGCGATATATGCACCAAGAGTATCCCATTCCTCGGTTGATACAGATAGTTTACTATAGTTCTGGACTATGTTCAGAACTAAGCTCTACTTGTTGGTTGGTCAGTAAACTATTGTTGCAGAAGTAAACTTTCATAATTGATCAACTTTCCTAATTATAAGTGTACTACAATTCACGAAGAAAGGTTTGGATTGATAGATTGATAGGCCTTAAGTCCAACACTGAACCAGGAGCTTTAGTATAAATCATACATATATATTATTAATTCATACTTTTCATGTACATGAATCATCCATAAACCAACGAACCTGCGGCATGATAGTAAATCATATCTCATGACAAATACAACATACTGTAGAAGAGACAACAGCTGTTGTGAGAAGGGAGTGAAACAAATGTTAGGTTGAGAGTCATAGCCTTTAACGATGTTCCAGAGGATCGTTCCCACAGCAGGACTCCAAGAACCAGCGGACCGTTCCCACAGCAAGACTCCAAGAACCAGAGGATCGTTCCCACAGCAAGACTCCAAGAACCAGAGGATCGTTCCCACAGCAAGACTCCAAGAACCAGAGGACCGTTCTCACAGCAGGACTCCAAAAACCAGAGGACCGTTCCCACAGCAGGACTCCAAGAACCAGAGGACCGTTCTCACAGCAGGACTCCAAAAACCAGAAGACCGTTCCCACAGCAGGACTCCAAGAACCAGAGGACCGTTCTCACAGCAGGTCTCCAAGAACCAGAGGACCGTTCCCACAGCAGGACTCCAAGAACCAGAGGACCGTTCCCACAGCAGGACTCCAAGAACCAGAGGACCGTTCCCACAGCAGGACTCCAAGAACCAGCGTACCGTTCCCACAGCAGGACTCCACGAACCAGAGGACCGTTCCCACAGCAGGACTCCAAGAACCAGCGTACCGTTCCCACAGCAGGACTCCAAGAACCAGAGGACCGTTCCCACAGCAGGACTACAAGAACCAGCGTACCATTCCCACAGCAGGACTCCAAGAACCAGAGGACCGTTCCCACAGCAAGACTCCAAGAACAAGCGTACCGTTCCCACAGCAATACTCCAAGAACCAGAGGACCGTTCCCACAGCAAGACTCCAAGAACCAGCGTACCGTTCCCACAGCAGGACCCCAAGAACCAGAGGACCGTTCCCACAGCAGGACTCCAAGAACCAGAGGACCGTTCCCACAGCAGGACTCCAAGAACCAGAGGATCGTTCCCACAGCAGGACCCCAAGAACCAAAGGACCGTTCCCACAGCAGGACCCCAAGAACCAGAGGACCGTTCCCACAGCAGGACTCCAAGAACCAGAGGATCGTTCCCACAGCAAGACTCCAAGAACCAGAGGATCGTTCCCACAGCAAGACTCCAAGAACCAGAGGATCGTTCCCACAGCAGGACCCCAAGAACCAGAGGACCGTTCCCACAGCAGGACTCCAAGAACCAGAGGACCGTTCCCACAGCAGGACTCCAAGAACCAGAGGACCGTTCCCACAGCAGGACTCCAAGAACCAGAGGATCGTACCCACAGCAAGACTCCAAGAACCAGCGTACCGTTCCCACAGCAGGACCCCAAGAACCAGAGGATCGTTCCCACAGCAGGACTCCAAGAACCAGAGGATCGTACCCACAGCAAGACTCCAAGAACCAGCGTACCGTTCCCACAGCAGGACCCCAAGAACCAGAGGACCGTTCCCACAGCAGGACCCCAAGAACCAGAGGATCGTTCCCACAGCAGGACCCCAAGAACCAGAGGATCGTTCCCACAGCAGGACCCCAAGAACCAGAGGATCGTTCTCACAGCAGGACTTGCACGGGGCCTCGACAATGATGTCCAACACTGCAATAGGGAAGGCATGAAGCGGGATGATTGACTGTGGTATCCCAGAGGCCTGGAGGCACGCAACAGTAGACCTTACCGCCTGGACCACACTGGTGGACCACCTAAGGTTTCAGGCAATTTAAGATAAACTGCCTTCAAATACCTCCATCCTCCTCCTCCTCCTCCTCCTGATACTATTACGCGTTCACCTGATACTCTACCCCCTTATTCTGCTCCTGATTCTCCTCTTTCCCCATTTGCTAAAAATTTTTGCCACTGTCTAAAAACTTGAATTTAAATTCTCATAAAATCAGGTGGATCTGGATGCAGGACAATTTTCCATAACTGATCCATTACTTCCTCCCTGCTCCCCCCCCCCCCCCACCATGCTTTCTGCAGAGGATAGGTCAGAATAACCTGGTTAAACACAGATAGGCTAACCACGTGAAAGTGGAGTGAAAGTGACGATGTTTTGGTCAGTCCTAATCAATCATGTCCTCTGTTATCCCCTGGCTGGTCTTACCATGCACGGGAGAATCGTGTCGGGTTCCTGGACGCTTAACACGATTGCAAAGCTGATTGCAAAATGTCAAGTCCCTCCCTAAACCTTAAAGGAGAAACAACTTTATTGGGAGGAATTCCGGGTGGGTTGTTTGGCTTAAGGGTTATCAACGTCTGGAAGGTTAATATTATACATTATTGATCAACCATCAAGTATACTTTACTATAACTTTCAAGTGTAAATACACCGAGAAGCGAAAATACTCCTGATGATCAAAATCTTTATTCATAAACGATAGTCCGTTTATAATTGGGAAACTTTACATAGAAAGTACAGTACATTAATTACACAAGACAGTCACAATAATGGTATGTAGACTTTGTCGTTATCAGAAACTTAATTGGAAACAACTTACGCGAGTCATTTGATACCTGAGCTGGACTAAACAGGCGCATAGCTTAGTTTTGTTTAGTACACAGTTTACGTGCATAGAACTAAATACAAAAAATAAATTATATTATAGGCATAAAGCTCTGATGATGGAGTACTTGCCTGGACAAGCAGGCTGGACACTATCACAGTTGTCTGGACAAGCAGGCTGGACACTGTCACAGTTGCCTGGACAAGCAGGCTGGACACTGTCACAGTTGCCTGGACAAGCAGGCTGGACACTGTCACAGTTGCCTGGACAAGCAGGCTGGACACTGTCACAGTTGCCTGGACAAGCAGGCTGGACACTGTCACAGTTGTCTGGACAAGCAGGCTGGACACTGTCACAGTTGCCTGGACAAGCAGGCTGGACACTGTCACAGTTGCCTGGACAAGCAGGCTGGACACTGTCACAGTTGTCTGGACAAGCAGGCTGGACACTGTCACAGTTGCCTGGACAAGCAGGCTGGACACTGTCACAGTTGTCTGGACAAGCAGGCTGGACACTGTCACAGTTGTCTGGACAAGCAGGCTGGACACTGTCACAGTTGCCTGGACAAGCAGGCTGGACACCGTCACAGTTGTCTGGACAAGCAGGCTGGACACTGTCACAGTTGTCTGGACAAGCAGGCTGGACACTGTCACAGTTGTCTGGACAAGCAGGCTGGACACTGTCACAGTTGCCTGGACAAGCAGGCTGGACACTGTCACAGTTGTCTGGACAAGCAGGCTGGACACTGTCACAGTTGTCTGGACACTGTCACAGTTGTCTGGACACTGTCACAGTTGTCTGGACAAGCAGGCTGGACACTGTCACAGTTGCCTGGACAAGCAGGCTGGACACTATCACAGTTGTCTGGACAAGCAGGCTGGACACTGTCACAGTTGTCTGGACACTGTCACAGTTGTCTGGACACTGTCACAGTTGTCTGGACACTGTCACAGTTGTCTGGACAAGCAGGCTGGACACTGTCACAGTTGTCTGGACAAGCAGGCTGGACACTATCACAGTTGTCTGGACAAGCAGGCTGGACACTGTCACAGTTGCCTGGACAAGCAGGCTGGACACTATCACAGTTGTCTGGACAAGCAGGCTGGACACTGTCACAGTTGTCTGGACAAGCAGGCTGGACACTGTCACAGTTGCCTGGACAAGCAGGCTGGACAGTCACAGTTGTCTGGACAAGCAGGCTGGACACTGTCACAGTTGTCTGGACACTGTCACAGTTGTCTGGACAAGCAGGCTGGACACTGTCACAGTTGTCTGGACACTGTCACAGTTGTCTGGACAAGCAGGCTGGACACTGTCACAGTTGCCTGGACAAGCAGGCTGGACACCGTCACAGTTGCCTGGACAAGCAGGCTGGACAGTCACAGTTGTCTGGACAAGCAGGCTGGACACTGTCACAGTTGTCTGGACAAGCAGGCTGGACACTGTCACAGTTGCCTGGACAAGCAGGCTGGACACTGTCACAGTTGCCTGGACAAGCAGGCTGGACACTGTCACAGTTGCCTGGACAAGCAGGCTGGACACCGTCACAGTTGTCTGGACAAGCAGGCTGGACACTGTCACAGTTGTCTGGACAAGCAGGCTGGACACTGTCACAGTTGCCTGGACAAGCAGGCTGGACACCGTCACAGTTGCCTGGACAAGCAGGCTGGACAGTCACAGTTGTCTGGACAAGCAGGCTGGACACTGTCACAGTTGCCTGGACAAGCAGGCTGGACACTGTCACAGTTGTCTGGACAAGCCGGCTGGACACTGTCACAGTTGCCTGGACAAGCAGGCTGGACACTGTCACAGTTGTCTGGACAAGCAGGCTGGACAGTCACAGTTGCCTGGACAAGCAGGCTGGACACTGTCACAGTTGCCTGGACAAGCAGGCTGGACAGTCACAGTTGTCTGGACAAGCAGGCTGGACACTGTCACAGTTGTCTGGACAAGCAGGCTGGACAGTCACAGTTGCCTGGACAAGCAGGCTGGACACTGTCACAGTTGCCTGGACAAGCAGGCTGGACAGTCACAGTTGTCTGGACAAGCAGGCTGGACACTGTCACAGTTGTCTGGACAAGCAGGCTGGACACTGTCACAGTTGTCTGGACAAGCAGGCTGGACACTGTCACAGTTGCCTGGACAAGCAGGCTGGACAGTCACAGTTGTCTGGACAAGCAGGCTGGACACTGTCACAGTTGTCTGGACAAGCAGGCTGGACACTGTCACAGTTGCCTGGACAAGCAGGCTGGACACTGTCACAGTTGTCTGGACACTGTCACAGTTGTCTGGACAAGCAGGCTGGACACTGTCACAGTTGCCTGGACAAGCAGGCTGGACACTGTCACAGTTGTCTGGACACTGTCACAGTTGTCTGGACAAGCAGGCTGGACACTGTCAACGGTTGAAGCTGTGTCGAGCAAGACATGTTTGTCATCTCCCTCTTGTTTTATAACCTACAATAAGTAGATAGACGTATCTATCATTATCTATAAGACAGATGCCTCTACGGATGTATGGAACAGCGGTACTCCTTACCTTTTATCTCGGACTTCCTGGATTTATAAATTACAGACCATTAGTAACTGTAATGAATGACTGGAAGCGGATTGTTGTACACCGACTTCTTCGTAAATTGTATTTAATACAACAAAATAATGTATTATTTTCTAATGTAATATTTTTGTAGACACTTTAATTATTTTAATTATTTTTAGACACTTTAATTATTTTAATTATTTTTAGACACTTTAATTATTTTACTGGTATTTTTCTTTTCTTTTTAATTAGCACTATTTCAATAGGGTGTACTGTAAATATACAATTATTAAATGATCGTTTCCTTTGTTAAATGTTATACCTGTATTTTTACACTGTACAAGAAGTCACCACATGCAATTGTACTGGTTTGTGATGATCTTAAGGCCCTATCATCCTCAGGAGTGACATTAAATCCACCACAATAACTTACTGACCAATCACAGCAAGACTATTATAGTCCTGATTGTAACCCGGAGTTAAGCTATCCATGTACGCTCACTCGAGAAATTTAGATACACCAGATATTGTATACACTAAATAATTCAATGGCCATCCAGAGACTACGAGTGTATTGCTGACGAGGAGTCACAATAACGGGGCTAAAATATGTTGACCAGACCACACACTAGAAAGTGAAGAGACGACGACGTTTCGATCCGTCCTGAATCATTCTCAAGTCGAAGAGTACTTGTGTACTCTTACTGATGACCTGAAGACGATTTCCACGCGTCAACTGGTGTACTTGATCCACTACACCAGTAGATGGTTGAGTAGATCCAGTTGATTCGTCTAATTATCTCTTATTTATTTGTATGTCTGTTGTACGATTTACTCCAAAAAATAAAAAATCGGGTCTGTAAGATAAAGACGCTAATGCCCAGGAGAAGAGAATTTAGAGCTTGGTTTTACAACAACATGCATTCTGAACTGGAACACAAAGGCAAAGGTAATGCAATTATTTCCGCGCATTCTTAAAATTAAATCGCAATACCACAAATGTATAATAAAAAGAGTACAACGTAACTGCACAACAGAGAAACCATTTAGAACACCAGAAGAACAAAACATTATGATGAAAAGCTGAAAAGCCTAACAAGGCAATAATATCACATCGAGTCCTGGACCAAGTTCAGTACTTAAGTATACTTGCTAGTTGGTCAGCAAGCACTTGTGGTGACTGTAATAACTCTCCTGAGGTTGTTGGGCCTTAACCCCCCCCCCCCGCCCCCCCACACCAAACCAAAGGCATAAAGCCGTTTCAGCTTCCACAACAACTGTCAAAATTTAAACAAAATTAAAAACTGTGGGTTGGCGCGTCGTTGACGTTGCTATGCGCACCGAGTGGCTATTCTGACTATTACAGAATTACGAAATAAAATGCACTAGTCTAAACGAGCAAATGCGTATGTGTCAGCTCTCCTTGTTGTTCCAGCCTAGGCCGAAGCCTAAAATAGTTATTTGATATGTGTGTTTATTTAACCATTTTTTTCTACTGCCATTGCTCTTTATTTCTTTTCCATTTCATCTTACTTTATTTTATATCTT